GTATATTTGAAAATGCAAAGAACAATAAATGAAAGATCGATCATGAAATTTAAAAAGTTTGATTTTCTGAGATTTATAAGTAAAATTGGGGTTCATTGGTCCTCTGATTAAAGGAGTACCACAATCCTGGATTATTAGATAAATTGCCTCTAAAATATCAAGTTTAAAGGCGTTTATGTCAAATTGTGCGTCGCAAGGTATGCTGAAATTGTTTGTATTTTCAATTTTAAGTTAGATTTCATTTTAAAAATACGGAGACCCATTTAGGACCTATCAAAACATATTTCTGAATTCTATATAACAAATTGTCGTATATGTTTAAACGAATTTTATTCGTTATAACAATTTTTTTACTTCATCATAACGAATAAAAATTGTAATAACAGAATTGTTGAATTCGTTATAACGAATTCAAAAAAATGTTATAACGAATTAAATCCGTTTAAACAAATTCCAAAATCGTTAAAAATTCTTAATATTGTCTTAACGAATTAAAATTCGTTGAAAAGAATTCGACAATTGCCGTATCGAATTTTCTATAGGTCCTAAATGTCGAATGCGATTAGATTCTCCTTGGACGTACAAGTTGAAAATCTTAAAATGCTGAACTGTCCTTAAGCATTGAATGAGTATTTCAGATCGAACTGAGGCTTTTCCAAACAGTCTTACCAAGCAAAGTAGTTTTAAAGAAATTGAAAAATGTGCTGCAATATTTATTTCATTAGAGGCCTCTGTGAAGAATTAACAGAGAGGGGTGATTTATTTAGAATCAGTATGAGGGTTTAGACAGAGGTCGGTAAATGTCAGGATAAATTACTCAAACTAATTGATGAATTAAGAATTATATATATATATATATATATATATATATATATATATATATATATATATATATATATATATATATATATATATATATATATATATATATATATATATATATATTAGGGATGTCAACGAGTACCCGGTTAACCGAACGTCCGAGTATCGAATACTAAAAATGGTACTCGGTTACTCGGATGTGTTTTTTTTTTTTATTTCAAGGTACATATTTTTATAAAAAACTTTTCAAAAAATAACTTAAATATGCGCACGGTAATTAGCGTGTCGTCATCTAGACCTGTAAAACACCAGTTATCGCTTGTGGCTGTGTATATACAGTAATTAGTGACCAATAATTTGGTACACAGCTGTTCTTACCTATTGTGGCCCTCAATTTTTGGATGGCTTCAATGATTGTTTTCAGTGAACATCGTTTAAGTATGATCTGTTATCCTCAAATAATTTTTAAATTATTTACTTAATACACGACAGCATAACCCACTTCAAAAGTGAATAAATAACTAAAGATTCAAAAATGGGGGGGGGGGGGCAACAAATCAAATGATATTAGACTAGCGATCCCAACAACGTCCGTTCCTTCTGTTTCGCTAGTCTAATAATCACAATGCAAACCTGCGTAACAGATTGTCCTAGCTCCTTTTGTGTTAATGAAATAGATCCTAAACAAGAACTGTAAACCATTTGTAATTTTTATGTATTAATTTATTATTTGATAAATAAAGAAAGGGGTGTACAAGGCGATGGCGGTCCCCCGCTCTGAGACAATATATTTCTCATTTATCAAAGTTCACTGAAAAGTTATATTTTTCTAAAAAAAATGTTTCAGTAATGTCATCTTCAACACATTTAATTCAGTTATTTTATTGAATGACTTTTTGATTGATTATTTGTTTTTTGAATTGACAGGAAAGCATATTTAGTGGAAAATGGGTTTATTAGAGACATAAAAAATAATTTTGAATATGAATGGGTCAAGTTTCTATTTATAAACTTGATAAAAACAGCTTTGGGGTTAAACAGAGCTTAACGGGGCTCAAGAAAATGAACACACTTGTGTTTACATTTTTACCGAGTACCCGGATACTCGACCGGAAAAACGTCCGAGTAACCGATTATCAAAAATTGACCGATTTGACATTCCTAATATATATATATATATATATATATATTTCAATGTTGAAACCCAAATACCACTTTTTGAAATGTATGTTTGTAGTATTCTTAATTATGGAGCAGAGGTGTGGGGATTACATAAAGCTCCAGATGTAGAAAAAATACACAGTCTTATTTGCCAAAAAGTTACTTCGTGTTAAAAAAAGTGTATGTAACAATCTTGTGTATTTTGAACTTGGAAGAATGCCTATGAGGGAATCTAGAAAATTGAAAATTATAAAAATAAAAAAAAATTTTAATTAAAAGGGGAAACAAAATATTCTACTAAAATCATGCTTGGAAGAAAGATTAAAGAATAATGATATCTGGATCAGAGACATTCAAAATTAAATTAATAAACTGGGACTTGGCTATGTATTTAACGCAGAGTTTAATGATAATACTTAGGTGTTAATTAATAAAACAAAAATTCCTTGAGGTGAATAACCATACCATGCTTTCTTATATTTGTAACAATGCTCGAAGTCCGTTATACCAACATGTGGTTGATACTTTTGGTGTACAATATTACCTGTGCAAACCTATTAATTATATGTACAAAATTCAAATTGCTAGAATTAGACCGTCTGCTCATAATTCAAATGTTGAAACAGGTAAAAAAATAATTTATGTAAAATGTGCTCTTTGAATGTTATCGAAGACGAATTTCATTTTATTCTACAATATCCTTTTTATCATGACTTTAGACTGAAGTATTTGAAAAAGTATTATTATAAGAAATCCAGTGTTTGGAAATTAATTCAAATTTTAAGTGTACAAAATATAAAGGAACTTTGTAATCTTGGAAAATATTTATATCAAGCTTCCATTACAAAAGAATGAATCAATTGCAATTTTTAAGTGTTTCATAATTATAATTGCCTGTTAAAACACGCCCTACATACTTGCTATTTATTTATAATGTTCACTCTCATATTGTTATATCTTATAATATTGTACATATGTTTAGTTATTACTATATTTAATATGATGTGTCGTATGACGCAAAGAAATAAAGAACTTGAACTTGAGTAATTAGCGTCACCTTCACCTGTTGCCTGTGGCTGTGTACATATTACCGAGACCATTACCGAACTGTACACAGCTGTTCTCGCTCTTGTGACCCTAATTTTTGTATGACTTTAATTATTTGTTTTCAATGAACATCGTTTAATTATAACCTATTAATTATCCTTAGATTATTTAATTAACATACGGTAGCTAAATCGGACATACATAGAAATACCGCTACCAAAAGTGAAGAAATATTTAAAAATAAACCAAAGATTTTAACAATGTTTAAAGTCAGCTATGCATAGTAAATTTAGCGTATACGGGGGGAAACAACCATATATTTAAGGAATCACTGTCTAGTTTTTTTTTAAATTGTGTCAGGGCATCAACGACAGTTGGGAAGGTGGGATAATTTATGCATAACGGTTGAAGTTGAAAATACATGTATCGAGAAATCAACATACTAAACTTACAGAGTTATCACTAACAAAACATTTGGAAATGTAAATAATATACGACTCGCAATTACGGCAACGTCCATTCCCAATGATATTCTCTTTGACTAGTCTAAACATTACAAAGTTTCGTCCTTCTCTTCCGTTGATCATATTGTCTTCCTAAACAAGAACTGTAAAGCATTTGTAATTATTGGACTATTAATTGATCATGTCTTTTGTGTTTGTTTGAAAATGAAAGTAAGTAAATTAAGTACCAAAAAATCGTTTTCCTTGGGCTCGATGTTTATGCACATGCATTATAAACGAAAGAAAACATCGATGGGGTAAACAGGTGTTAATAAAATCAACAAACTTTTCATGTATACACACATTTCCCGAGTACCCGGGCATTCGATCGGAAAATCGTCCGAGTAACCGATTATGAAATATATATATATATATATATATATATATATATATATATATATATATATATATATATATATATATATATATATATATATATATATATATATATATATATATATATATAAGGTAAATGCGATAATAACAGGAACAATGTGTTATCTCCCCCTTCTAACTCTTTTTTAATGGACTACTCATTACATGAATATAATTGCTTATTGTTAGCATTTATTTAGAGCCTAGTCATAGAGGAAAACACTAATGATGATAGATACAAGTAACCTCTAAAGTTTTGGATTAAAGAAAAGTATCTTTTCACATAATATATAAGCCAGATCAGTAGCTTTTCTCCATTTCTACAAAACAAAGTTTACCTAAAAACTTAACAGATAAAGAAAGGAAGAAATACATTTATTTAATTTACGTCCTTCTATTTTACTAAGTAAAAATTATTTAGCAAGATCTATAATTTCCATACATCTCTTCTCAGTTAACAGTGGCATTTAATCATTTTATAAACTTTATGAACTGAAGGTGTGTTAAACACATATGTCAATATTTAAAAAAAAAATATTCTTAATTAATGTAAGATAACGATAACAGATTGAACCTTCAAAAGTTAGCCGCATCTGTTTAAACAATACCGGAGGAAATGCATTTGTTGAATCGAGTGGCTGATTGTCACATGTGTACGGTTTATGTAACATCCAAATAAATCGAAATCGGTAAAATAAAATCACTGATGACGTGTATTTATGTTTTGCCTTATTTCATTTTAGTTTAAAATACAGCCGTTTAAAGAGGGGGGAAAATGGTGTTTGACGATTGTCAGCTAAGGTCCTGATGATACATGTATATTTCTTTTATTTATTTATTAATAAATCTGCCTTATTATGAATTGCGGCTTTATTTATTTATAAATAAAAATAAATCAAATTGACACTATGAAAAAATATATGCATATACTATATAGAGATTCCGATTCTTTTTCAACACATGATAAAAAGTACAGAAAGTAATGGGGGAGGGAATGGGCATGTTGCCGATAATTGTATAATTACTTGCTATCCTCCTGTGCATCAATAAAATTCAGTCGGATGACAACGATCCATATGTCGTAATTTTGCACACGGTGTATACTGAATTCGTCACAATGTATGATTCGTTTCTTAAACAGTAAGTTATGAAGAAGTTTCCTCAGAGATTTGTTGTCGTTATCTTGGGATTTTTCGGACTCCTTTTCTCGTTTTCTTCGAGGACATGTTTTTCTTTAGTTATGGTTTACGTTCTACGTAACAATCTGTCTCAGACAAACTCTCTGTTTAAAGAGGTAGGTGTTATTTGATTTAGCAGACCATCATAAGAATGAAATGATATTTTTTTTTATCAAAAATTAGAATTTATCATAAATAAACATGTATTTTATGCTTCCGTTAAGATGTATGAAAATCTACATTCATAGATCCCTTAAAACTACACGAGATAAAATCTTTATTTTCATCGTATGGATCAAGTGAATCAAAGATATAAAAATAAATGAAAAAGCTGAACATATCGACGACTTAAATATCAGAACATGAATATTTATTCAGTTTATGACAAGAAACTGTAAAGAATGTTTTAGGAAAGCTTTGAAATTACTCCGTATCTGGTATAGTAAAAAAAAGTATAACACGAGAAATAGAAACAGAGGCATAATATTTGTAAAAAAATAAATAAATAAAAAAAAATCTTGCTCAAAAGTCCGATGAAAGAATGATAATTAAGATCAGAGCAAACATGGACCCCTGAAAACATCAGAGGGGTGGATAGGTGACATGGAGGAGTAAACATTTCCTGTTTCTGTTTTATCTACGGAACTAGCACCATACGTACACATTCTGTGAAGTAATTTTGAATAATGAGAAATTGATAATCAATTATATTCCAGCAAATGTCAAAGTGTTATAATATGATATAATATCTAAATGTCAGATGATTAGGAATTACTGTAAATGCTCATTTAAGTTTTTAAGAATAATGAATGGTTTAATAGAGTCTAATTTGAGCCACCGATTGACTGTATTTAGTGCACACTGTCATCATATTATTAATGTAGGCACTTATAAGGTAATACGGAACTATATGAGGTCGTTGAAAAAAAAAAATCATGTGCGAGATGTATGCCAACGAGAAACATGTATTTGGTACATACCTAAAACGCGTACGGTCGCCGAAGATACATTTGTTGACAGAAAAGTTTAATCAAGTTAATCAGATCTATAAGAGCATACGGAATCATATTAGTTCACACTAGAAATTGATAAATTAGAGCACAAAATTGCAAAAAAAAAAAATATCCAAGAAAGAGTGACGACACAACTGTAAATGACTACATTGTTAATTCATCACATCGGTTTCATACTTGGATATTTTACTAGAAAAAGACGTTAATGGTAACCTAAGAACAAAACTTTATGATAAACGTGATGACTTCAACTTTTCTATCGTCAACTTGCCTTTTTTATGTAGCAATATACCATTAACAACTGCATATGGAGTTAATGTCTCCCAGTTGATTCGATACGCAAGAGCATGTTCTACTTACAAACAATTTCTAAAATGAGACAAGCTATTGACAATTAAGTTGATGAAGCAAAATATCAAGAGTCTCGTTTAAAATCATCATTTCGCAAGTTCTATGGTCGATACAATGACCTTGTCAGCAAATACATTCTATCATTAAGTCGGATATTGACTGACATTTTTCATACAAATTTTTAGGCCATTATTTTCACACTGAATTTTCCGTTTGCCCGATCATGATGAGGAGCACACGGCGGTTGTGACCGGTCGACAGGGAATGCTAACTTCTCTACGGCACCTGATCACACCTCTAATGTTTTAGTGGTCTGTGTTTGCTCTACTCCAAATTTGCATTGTTTTAATGGACTTTTGAACTTGATTATTGTTCGTTAATTATCTTTATATCTCACTTTCCAGCAAAGCATGCCAATTCATGTACGATTCTATCTTAAGAAATCTTGATAAACAAAGTTGCTTTTGTTTACCTGTAAATATAAATGTGAAGATAATTAAACGTATCGGGAGCAGAGCAAAGTTAACACAGACCCCTATATACACCAGAAGTGTCACGGAGTGAGCATCATCTTTTGATCGGTCACACCCATGGGCGTTTTGTCTTGATCGAGTTAACGAAGTATACAAAATGGGTTTGAAAATAATGACCTAATAAATGTAACAAAACCCCGTCAGTCAACATCCGACCTATCGACATGCATTTGAAAACAAGGTCATTGTAATCTCCATATAATTTGCGAAATAGCGACTTTAAACGACATCAACATCAACCTATTTGATAGGAGCTTGCCTAGGTTAAGAAACTTACATGCTCATTTGGGAGACGTAAACACCTGACCCTGGGACCATGAAACAAATTTAAACGTAAGTCATGGTTTCAATCATATATAAGTTGTTCATCATTTGTGACCTAGAACTCCTTATTTACAGAAAACAGCAGTGTGATGATAAAATTTTGAGAAATATATTTATTTTTTACTGTTTGGTGTCTAAAGTATTTCAGCGCGATAAACAAATTTTTGACTTAAGCTTAAGATGTTTCATGATCCCGGTGCCTGAGCACATATACAGGTGATAATCGCGCATTGCTTCATAAATAAGAGAAGATAACGATAGAAAAATTGAAGTAGTCCTACGTAAAGTTTAGTTATTAGTTTGTCATCAATGTACATGTATATATCTAACAATATATGAAACAAAAGTATCAGACTCTGTGGTGTCTTTTATTTCGAGTTAATGAGGAAATCCTTTCGACGCGTAATGGATCGGATATAAAAACCCAGGTTCATAAGGTCGGTGGTGTTTTCCGCGAGGACAGCTACAGGATTTCTAACCGATTTAACCGATTTCTATAGCCGAAAGCGTTTTATTGTAGAAAGACCGGGCCCTTTGCACAAAATCCTAATATTCAATGACGTCCTCTGAATCTCTGAAAACAAAATCGTAAAATCAACAGTTTTCCTCGAGAATACACATAGATATTGTGCACATATAATCATGTTTTTTTTCTTGCATAAAAACAATAAAATCTTTAAAAATATTTAGAAAAACCCCATAATTCGCAAAAACTTAATAATGATAAATGAATGTTGATCTTTTTTCAAATCTTGATGACCGGTAACGGTAGCCTAGAGGTAGGGCGTTCGCTTCGTGATCGGGTGGCCCGGGTTCGATTCTCGTTCTTCGCTCCGCGTCGTAAACAAAGGCAGTGACTGTTCCTTCGCCAGCCGCCCAGCATTAGAAGTAAAAGTTACTGGTCTCTCGGATAAGACCTTAAAAACTGAAGTCCCGTTTCACGATAGGCTCTGGCAAGATAAAAAAACCTTCACTGCTCAATGGCCCTGAGTGTCGAATATAGGTCTAATTTGAGGTCCTTCATCGGTATACGGTGACGCCTCTATATGTGTGAAAAATTCTCGAATGTGACATTAAACAACACACAAATCAATCAATCAATGAAATCTTAACCTTTTATTTTCCTAACCCTCTAAGTTATGCCAAAAATTTAATATCTTTAAATATTATGCATCAAAATTCATCACAGCTGTTCTTTGTTCATTAAAATAACACAATTGACTAACCTAGGATAGGATTACATGTACATGTAACTCGTTATGAAAACAGTTTTTGAACATTCCATTAGAGTAGTCGCGGTCGCCCACGTGGCGCAATGGTTAGAGCGTCTGCTCTAGAGTCGCGAAGTAAGGAGTTGATCCTTACGTCGCGGGTTCGAATCCCACTGTGGGACGTGGAGACCGGTCCTTCGGATGAGACCGTATAAACCGAGGTCCCGTGTCGCAGTAGGTGCTGGCACGATAAAGATCCCTCACTGCTCAATGGCCGTAAGTGCCGAGCATAGGACAAAATTTGCGGCTCACCACTGGCAAGTGGTGGCGTCTCCATATGAGTGAAAAATTCTCGAGAGGGACGTTAAACAAAATACAAACAAACAAACAGAGTAGTCGTGAATAGGACTTCATAGATTAGGGCTCCTCTTTATCGCTTTTGAAAACGCAAATTGCGGGATTCGACGTTCTTTTGTGTCCTGAGTTGCACCCAGATTCCCAGTGCTATTGATTAAAAGGAAAGCATTCACAAAGAAGGCTCACATAAAGCTCATACTAGCAATTATGTACATGTACGGTGATTTTCGTTTCGAAGAATCATTTCAGTCTTGCGGTTCATGACGGCCAACCTGCCAAAGGCCGACTTTCAGAGACACACGGCTACCTAAAAATATGAATCAAAGTATGAGAATAAATTGAGGCCACGAGATATGGCTTTTCCCCTTCTACTGCTATAATGACAAATAATTGAACAATAGTATTGATGTCGAAAAAATATTCTGCTTTGGTGTAGATTGAATCAGAAATCACCGACTGTAAAGTTCAATAATAAAATAAAGAGAAATTTTGTAATATAATGCTTTTACAAACAACGGTTTAAAAAAACCCCTTGTTTTGGTATGAGTGACGAGTGTGTGTTTGTGCGAAACGTGCCTCTTAGACGTCTCTTGTGAGGGGATGCTCTGCTTTGCGGTACCATTGTTAATTTTAAAATTGCACAAAATTGTTTGCCTAATTGAACAATATTTACCTAAGTTTTGTAATCAATTTACAGTGCACAGTCAATGGCACCTCATGGGATCTTATTCTACCATGGAATCCGTCCATTACACAGTATTTTAACACAGTGTTTTTTGCTGGCTATTTCCTAACTCAGCTACCAGGAGGATACCTTTCCGCTCGATTTTCCTCCTCAAGGTAAAGAGAATTTTCAAGAGAAAAAACTACAACCGTATTTTACCTTAACTTTTGAATGACTTATCTTAACAGCCATTTTTTTTTTAAAGGAAATGGATAACATGTTAATTTTCATCAAAGAGCTTGGATATATTTTTTTCATGAATTCAAATTTAGTTATTTCTTTAAAATGAAAGATAGCGAGAAAGGTAACTTTTTCTATAAATACATGTATCAGTAATTAAAAAGGCAATATTAATACAATACTATGAAAATACTAAAGAAAGAACTAAGATGAAACCTAAGTGTACATGCGGACAGACAATAAAGTAAGACTTTGATTTATTAATGCATGTATGAATAGAGGAACATATCATCTCAAAAATCCGTCTTTCACCAGGAAACATTTTAAGCATTGCACTTCACATTGAATCCATTTATCTATTTCAGAGTCTTTGGAATTTCTCTCCTAGCAAGTGGTTCTCTAATGATTACTTTGTCCTTTGTGCTCAAATACGGTACACCTATTGTGTATACTATTCGCCTAACCCAGGGTCTTTTTGAGGTAGACATTACTTTCAAAGTTTCAGAAATGCTAAAAATTAAGTTTACTTTCGATTACATTCTTATATATTCTACATTAAGACGAAAATGTACATATAATTGTTATTCAGGGTATGGCCATACCTGCACTTAATGGCGTTCTGTCGGCTTGGGCACTGACTTCAGAAAAATCACGAATGGTCACATTCACCTATTGTGGTACGGTTATGTATAAAAATTAACTCATCACCTTATTGATAGGCATTTAATACATATTTTAGGTGGCTGGTTGTATTCCATATTAATTTGTTAATACATTTTGAAAAGAAGCTTAAATTTAAAATTAAAGAGGAGACAAAATAGAAATAAAATGATGTCATACTCTTTTAAGGAGCCTATCTCAGTCCCGCTGTGGCGTTCTTCATTACTGGAGCAACAACTTGCTATATAAGCTGGCACTCCAGTTTTTACATCTTTGGTAAGTGATACAACGCTTACATCATAGGAATTTGATAATAAATATGTATATGTGCAAAGAAGTAAAAAAAATTATCTATTTTTAAAGACAAAAATTACAGTATATCATGTACAGTTCAGATACTTTTTATTGTTGCTTTATAATTTTTTTGTAGGAGGACTGACTGTTTTATTTTCCATTATATGGTTTTTAGTTGTCCATGATAACCCTTTATCAAATAAAAATCTGTCAGAAGAGGAACGGTCTCTATTTGAGATGGATGGTCCCATAGTGGATGAAAGCTCAGAGGAAAAGGTTTAATTTTAGTTCTTAAATCCCTGTTGTATTCACGTACAATAAGAATTTTAGATTTGGATAGGACTTTTTTAAATGAGCGTTTTGTATCCTTGCAAGTTTATATTTCATGCCTCATAATGATTTGACTAATTTTAACTCCCAAATCTTTGAAAAACCCCATAATTCTTTTTGAATGATGCTATTTTTGTTAAAAAGAGTGGTGTGAGGAATATCTCACAGTTCTTCTGAATACTAGTATCTTATTTGCTTACATGTATGCAAAATCAAATATATCTAAAATGCTAGAATTACATACCTTATTGTGCAAAATTGGCATAACCAAACATATTCTGTAGAATGATTTCCATCTACGAGAATTTAATTTTTTTTATACCAAGGATGTATAGTAAATTGAGACAAAATGTAGTAGTTAAAACTTAAGTATACACGAAACAATATTAAGAAAATCAATTCTTTTAAATCTTACATTGTAGAATCTTTTTTTGTAATGGTAATGTACTTTATCCAATGGTGCCAGGGATGAGACCACAATTGCAATGGAATGTTATATATGTTGAAATGTGAAGAAAAATTGTCGAAGTCAGCAAATCTTATTTATCGTAATATAAAAAAGTATATCTTCAAATTGTCAAAAGAATATGAAAGCATCTTGTAGCGACGACTTAAATTGACATTTCAAAAGGACAGGGCTATCTCTTAAGTTTTTACAAAAAGGAAGGTTGGAAAAAATCACAATAAGCGTCTCATAAATACAAAAAAATCATTATATGATACTCAGGTGACCGCAGAGGCCTATGTGACACTTGTATGATTTGAACATCTATACTACTATATTAAAATAATAGACTCGAATTTTTGGCCTTTAATACCGATGAATCGGAAGAGTACTGTCTTTTGTTATATATATTTTAAACATAACTGATACTTGAAGATTACCAATTTGTTTTTATTTTTTCTCAATTAGCCTTCGCTAATTAATAATCAACAAAAATTCCACAAAAAATCCCGGAAATCATCTGGACTTTTTGGATTTTACAATCTTGCGCGTGCGCATTACATTCACGCTAAATCACGGTGTTCAAATCAGAGAAGACAAAAGAAGTACTAAGTAGATAATTATATATTTGTTATTTTATAATTTCTCTAATAAGAAATAAGAAAATAAATAATCATAAATATATATATGAAATCATAAATATATATGAACAGAATATATAGCAAATTTCCAATGAAAATTTACACGTATTTGTATTATCTTTCTGAGTTTATCCATACAAATGTGATATTGTGTCCACGTGGGTAATCATTCGCCATCTCGGAGACACATTTATTATATGTTATTATATCTCTGGCCATCTCAACGGGGGCAAAAAGCTCATGATCGTAGGAGCAATATTAATGTAACTACCCGATTTTATTTTATCCTTCCTTTCTTTTATGCTTTTTTGAGGGGAAAGGGGGTGGTGGTGTTACAACTCCAGCTAGAATCACATCTTGGTGAAGTAAGCATTCTTTTTCCGCCAAAAATTACAAGAACATTATTTTCATTTCTTAACTTTGAAATAAATCGAAGTAATTAAATAACGTCAATATAACCGATATTTTCAATTTGAAATGTGTCTAAATGATTGCAACTTGAATTTGTTCGCCATGTTTACTATTACCTTCACTGCTGAAATTTATAACGCGGTAAATATGAAACATAAACTAAGGGCAAAGAAATATTTGATTCCATGCAAAAAAATTCACATTATATTTCTTAGAAGTGCAGTGAAATCAATAGCATTATTGTAGGTTTATAGCTTTATTATGTAAATACATGTAATGAACTCTGACCCTGGTCTGTCAACAATACGGTGAACACCCCCTGCAATGCTTGCGCCGTGCATTTCCCACGTGAACCATCAAAGAAAGCTTTATATTTTTTATATCTAAATTCACCTCTAAAAATTTCTTTAACTCTAAAAAAAGGTGGATGAAATATGTAATTTATTGTTATTGATCTTCAGTACGTTATATAGAAGGGACAGCCTGTTCTTCTAAATATGTAAAGGTTGTCATGGTAACTACGCTTTATAGGTATCAGCAGTGCTGAACTCTTTGTTGTTGTCATATTTTCAATGAATATCCATAATTTCTTTTATTAAATTTGTTTGGAAAGGTGAAATTTATGTAAGCTCCGGCGTGATTCTAACTCATGACTTGATTTATAGCTAACTGGTGGTCAAAGCCATTCTGCGCTATGCCGTTACGCAACAATTTTCCAAAAAAAAAAAACAACAAAAAAACAAAAAAACAAAACAAACAAAAACAAAAAACAAAACAAAACAAAAACAAAAAAATCCCAGAATTATATTCACATTCATTGTTTATCTCAAAAGTACCTTACAATATCAATGTGTCGATGTATCTATTTTGTAAATATCTGATATGCACATGGATGCATTCATAACAATGTCAACCCGTGCACGCACGGGTCAAAGTCTAGTAATATTAAATATATAAACCTCACTTTTTAGCACACCCTGAGCCAAAGACTCAAGTGAGCTTTTCTGATCAAAATTTGTCCGTTGTCTGTCGTCGTTGTCGTCGTTAACTTTTCACAATTTCATCTACTTCTCCAGAACCACTGCGCCAATTTTTACCAAACTTGCCACAAAGCATCCTAGGGTAAAGGGGATTCAAGTTTGCTCGAATGAAGGGTCACACCCTCTTTCAAGGGGAGATAATGAAGAAATAGTGAAAATTTGGTGGGGTGTTTTAAAATCTTCTCAAGAACCGCTGGGCCAGGAAAGATGAAACTTATGGAAACGTCTTCAGGTAGTGTAGATTCAAGTTTGTTTAAACCATGAAACCCCCCCCCCCCCCCAGGGTTGGGGCGGGACCACAATGAATGATCAAAATTTTACATAGTTATACATAGGAAAATATTTAAAAATCTTCTTCTCCAGAACCACTGGGCGAGGAAAGATGAAACTTATTTGGAAACATTCTCAGGTAGTGTAGATTCAAGTTTGTTCAGACCATGATCCCCAGGGTTGGGGCGGGACCACAATAAATGATCAAAATTTTACATAGGAATACATAGGAAATTTCTTTAAAAATCTTCCTTTTCAGAACCACTGGGCTTGGAAAGATGAAACTTATATGGAAACATCATCAGGTAGTGTAGATTTCAGTTTGTTCAAACCATCGGCCCTTTGGTTTGGGGCGGGGCCACAATGAATAATCAAAGTTTTACATAGGAATACAAAGGAAACATCTTTAAAAATCTTCTTCTCAAGAACAGCAGAACCATGATTAAACATATTTATATGGAAGCATCTTCAGTTAGTGTAGATGAAGTTTGTTCAAATCATCCCCCCTTCCCTTAGCGGTAGGTTAAAACCACTTATAAAATACTGAACTCCTAGCCAAATGCTCAGGTGAGCAGTGTGGCCCATGGGCCTCTTGTTATTGGATGAATAAAGGATTTTTCCTCCACAGGTTAAAAATGTACCTTATCGGAAGATATTGACATCACTTTCTGTAACAGCCATATTTGTTGGAAATTTCTGCCGGAACTGGATTTTCTCACTGCAGGTCTCCCAACTTCCACAGTACTTCGCTGATGCATATGGAATGAATGTCGCTAGTGTAAGTAATTTTTTTCTGGACCACCGGGAAATTGTGAAAATGAATAATATATATAATTTACTTTAAGATTTTTCACATTGGAAACATTTACCTCAGACAGAAAAAAAACTTAATGAATTTAATGCTCTGATAATACATATCACAATTTTATGTGCTCCATTTTCCAGATAGGATTTTTAGCTGCCTTTCCAGAAGTTCTGATGGCCATTGTAGTTGTGATAGGTGGTATCTTCATAGACATGATCATAAAAACAGGAAAAGTCGGCACAACCGTCGCGAGAAAGATTGCTCAGTGTTCTGGTACCCCTCCCCCTCTCTCTCTCAAATGTTTCTTTTCCGTATTTCTCAGATTCAATGCTTTAAAAATTTCATCACCTATTTTATATTAAGGGTTTGGGATTGAGTCCTTGTGTTTACTGAGTTTGGTCCTCGTAAGGGATTTTAGACTGGCCACCGTAGTACTTTCCATAGGAATAGGTATTAGTGGAATGGCCATATCAGGCAAGTCTTACTCAGAATAGTTAAAAACGTATACATGTATAGCCTGAAATCTTTTGTTGCTTCTTAGTACTAGACAATTATCGGGATTATCGACTATGAACTTTGAATTGTGCATAAAAATTAAAAAGCTTATCTTCTAGAGGCCCATACAACCTGACAATTTTGTTGATCTCTGTAGGTTATCAAGTGAATGCTCTGGATTTGGCCCCTCAGTATGCTCACATTGTAACAGGATTTACCCGGATCAGCTGCATTGGGTCCATGTTTAGTATAGCCGTGGCAGGCTTACTAAGAGAAAAGGTGGAATAAAAACTTTTTCCCTCTCTCTTTCTCTCTCTCTCTCTCCTAAACCCTCTCTTGCCAAGACCCTCCAAGATAAGAAAGAAAAATTTTTCTTTAACTGAAGAGTGATAGTGATAAGAATTAATTGTTAGTATCTTAGGGCATTAAGATCGGACATTGTAATTTCATTCGGATTCAATCAATGGTTTAAAGTTTAGAATTTTTCTAGAAATATACCAGTTTGAAAATTCAAATACAACTGTAATTGAGGTTCTAAAATTTATGATTTTTTTTCCGCTGTGGAAATTGATGGTGAAAGGCTATGTTATTGTAAAGAATTATTATTTCAGAATATTGAGTCTTGGCAGAAAATATTCCTTATAGCTGGAACAATTCATTTGTCTGGAGTTATTTACTATGCAATATTTGCTTCTGGAGAAATACAAAGCTGGGCGGAGACAACAAATCTGACGTCATCAGATAGCACACTAAAATTGACATCACATCCTGTATATGAGTATGGGTCAATTTCACAAAGAAAAGATGAGATAAAGGAAGATAAAGGGTCTTAATAATTGTTTTCTGTGATGATCTTTGTGTACTTTTGTATTATTTTTCTTATTGATAGAAATTTATCCATTATATGTTTACGATAATTCACATTATCGATTTCGATGGCCCAGTCATAATTTTATTTTGTCACTATATATTTGTTTGAAAAATGCTTTGTAAAAAATATTTGTAGCTTTTTTTATGGAAAGAACATCATAAAATGTAGGACGTTTTTGCAATTTCTTCACATTATTTCAAAATATTTGTAATCCCCCGCTTGAAAAATGGGGTATATAGAGATGGGGGTGTCCGTCCTTCAATTCGTATCACTTGGGGATAACCATACCTTATCCGCAACTACTCCTTTACCACAAAATGAAATGAGAATCTTTATTACACAGTGCCACTTTGCTCCTCCTTTTTTACGTTTAATTCGATCGGACAGATATTTGGGGATTCCCTTCGTAAAACATCGACATTGCCATTCTTTCTATAATATTGAGGCTACCATCTCTCCTCCTATAATACTGAATAAAATTTAAATAAGACATTAGGAAAATCTTTTCATGTATTCGAGTTACCCACGAAATTACGTCTTCATGAATAAGTAAAAGTTTGATTACCCACAAACATCGCCCCCCACGAATTAAAATGATTCCACAGTATTCTAAATTTCGATCGGAAACAGAACTAGAGTTTCCCATAGCAAAACATGGACAGTACCATTCTTTCTGTGAAACTGTGTGTACCATTTCTTATCCGCAACTCCACCTTTACCACTGAATAAAATTTGATGAGACTTTCATGGAATCTTTATTATATTGCTTCATTGTGCACCTTTTATTTAACGTTTAGATCGGACATATATATATTGCGTTTGCCTTAGCAACAAATTGACTTTCCTGTTATGTTCATATGGGAGCCGGGATATCATTTTGTGAGCTCAATGCTCAGAGTACTTCTAATTTTATCTGTAAGCGTTGTGGTGATATCATATTACAAATGCGGAATCAAATTACTCTGTTTACACTTGTTTTATGCTGAAGCACTATTTTGTTGTTAAGATTGGTGATAGTGGCAAATAGGAGTGTAGTCAGCACTGACATATACAGACAAGTAATCAAATCTACCTTCCGAGTTGCTGCAAGTGACCCCCCTCCCCCCTTCAAAAAAAGTTTTGTTGGTGCTTGATCACCCTTTTTCTTCTTGTTTGTGAGCAAAATATTTTCCTTTATCAGTTTTATCTGCTTTATAAACAATTATCGAATTGCAATTACATGGACCCTTTGTAGGGTTATATAAAACTCAGGTGACCGTCAAGATCCTTGCGCCTCTTGTTTAAACAACTGATACAATAACTTAGACGACTTTTCATACAAATTTTCAATTTGTATGCGTATCTTGTCTAGGAGAAATAAAGTAAAAATTAAAATAGAATTACTCAGTCCTAGGACATAAATGTTTTATCAAGGTTGATTATCTCATCTTGTCTGCTATCAATGTTGACTGATAAAGTTTGAAGCATTCTGAGTATTTTTAAAACATACACTTTTCATGGAAAAGGGGATAAAGAAGCAGTTTTGAAGCATGAGTATTGAAAGACAGTTTGTAGCATCTAAAATGAGAGAATAATTACAGTAAAGTGGAGTCGGCTAAACACAGTTTTTCCTAAATATTCTGCATATACACGACAAAAAATTTAATTGAAAAATAAATCCAGCTTAATGATGTAAGATCATCGGTGAACTCAAAAGACACCACAGACTCTTCCACATCTCTTTCATGGACTGGTTATAAATGTTAATGGAAAACTAATTAATAAACTATGTGATAGAACAGACGACTTCAACTTTTCCATCGTCAATTTCTTCTATTTATGCAGAAATATTCCACTCTCCATTATGTTTATATCTTCCAAATGACGCAAGAACATTTGCTACTTAGACTCACTTTTAAACCAAGGCAGGCAACTGACAAATATGATGTTACTACAAACTCATTTAACGTTAGCAGTTTGCAAATAATATGTTCATTATAATCTTGTTTGCAAATACAACCTACGTTTGTGTTGTTGTTTAACTGACATGTTTAATACTATAGTTTAGTCATTGTTTTTATCATAATTTTGACTATGAATTACTCCATTTATCAGATAAATACAGAAGGTCACGGCGAATGTGACTTGTTGACAGGGGATACTTACTCCTTATAGGTACCTGACCCTACATCTGGTCTTTCCCCTTTCTTTACGTTTGGGATTGTTTACAGAATTTTTTAGATGAATGGGAAGATAACGAATGGCGATCATTCTAAAAAATCATAATGCAAATTATGAGCAAAGCCAACATGGAACTTCGAAAACAGAGGTATGATCAGGTACCATGGAGGAGTAAGTCTCCCCTGCCGACCGGTCGCCATGTGCTCTCTGGGTAAATGGGAATTCCGTGGACAAATCAATGTGAAATAATGACCTTGCAATTTGTATGAAAAATGTCAGTTAACATTCGACTTAACAACAGAATGTAATTGCTAACAAGGTCATTGTATCGACCGCAGAATTTGTGAAATATTGACCTTTAAATGAGAATGTTGATATATTTGTGTCATTAATAAAGAAGGTGAAAATAACGAACGATAAGATAATGGTCGATCTCAAAAAACTACAAACAAAATAAATCTGTGAACAGAGCGTAAGACATAGAACCCCGGAAATTCCATAGGTGGGATTATGAGACTATAGGAGCTACATCCCCTATCAACCGTTCCATTCGCCGTGAACCCTATCTAGTGATCAGGTAGACGGAATATTCTGCAGTCAAATTTAGTATAAAAACAAAGTCCTAGCAATGGGAATAAAATATGTCAAAGCACGGCACATTGATATGTTATATTTACTATCAAAGTCTTTATAATGACCACAGAATTAACGAAATGCTGACTTTAAACGAGATAGTTTGAAATCACTGTAACATCAACTTATTTGTCAGTAATCTGCCTCGGTTTCAGAATTGATAGTACTCGGAGTATGCTCTTAAGCCTGAGTATCGAATAAGTTGGTAGACTAAAAAACCATATACAGGTGATAGCGGAATATTACTACATAATAAGGAAAGTTGACGTATTTGTCAATAGCCTGCCTCGTTTTAAAAATTGTTCGTATGTAAAACAAGTACTTGCGTATCGAATCAACTGGGAGACATAGTCCATATGCAGGTGATTATGGTATATTGCTACATAAATAAGGGAAGTTGACGATAGACAAGTCATCAAGTTTATCATAAAGATTAGAGAGTACAGTTCATTATCTTGAAAATAACTGCCAATGTTTATAATTATACGGTTTCCTTCAGATGACACATCACATATCCATGAAATAATTCATTTGATATAACATATTTCATTAAAAAAGACTCCGTCAAAGGCATAGAATTGTCGCTACACTATATCTTCATTTGTGGAATGAGAGTTAAAAAGAAATCAAATGTACGCTGGACCTAGATTGTGTTTGTGTGTGTGTGTGTCTTGTACAGTTTTATTGTTTGACATACATGTACTTGTGTTCTTGTTTTAGAATTTAAAACAGGTTTAACGACATGTGTCCAAATTTAAAATAAGTCATTTTATTTTCTCCTCAAATACTAGTAGAAAAAAGGCGATAAAAAAAAATCAAAATGGATTTTTTTTTCAGTGGTAACAATATTTGAACAGATATTTAAGTTACAATGAGAATATCAATACCAACCTCAATTATCAGTTTTATTTAAAATGAGGTTTATCAACCTTTGTGCAATTTGAAGCTTATCCACTTCTAATTTAATGTTCAAGATTTCTATAGATTACAGCGATGTATATAACAGTTCATAATAAAGACCAATCCTGTTCAACTTCCCAATATCGGCAGTTTGACAATGTTAGTCACTGTGACATTTCGAGTATTTGAAATTGAAATATATATATATATATATATATATATATATATATATATATATATATATATATATATATATATATATATATATATATATATATATATATATATATATATATATCGAAGTCAGTAGTTTGGGTGTGAGAGGAAATTCCAATTCATGAACCAAACAAACTCTTTTAACCACTACACGTATCTAAATACAACACAAAAGTAAAAGACAGATGAATTCATATGAAAAAATTACATCCAATTTAATGCTGGCTTTCATTACATAAAAACCTTAAAGTTAATCATTACTTCCAATAACGATTCCAATGATGCAGAGACCAATATTTCTTCTCGTTGAGGGAACGGAGAAGACATGATTAAATTCGCATACAATCTCGGTAAAATGTTTTATTATCTAGCATGAGGATATTTACTTGAGTACAATAAGCAATTCCAATATTTATACGTCTTGACAATTTATTTCTATTAAGATTTGCTTTCGACATTGTAGAGGAATTTTTTTAAATCTCAATTTTCAACTTTCAGTGTTTCTCTTTTAAAATTTAATATTCTTCAAAGACAAGTTTTAGGATTCATTTTAAATGTTTTAAATGCATTTATGCATGTCTGGATGTTACGATTACATTTCAAACTTACAACTTATTGATACAGAATATGTGCTATCGCATTGTTGGGAAAAATGCACTTTGTGGATCGAGGGAATAGCAACATATAAGCCTTTGTGTGGAAGATTTGGTCGAATACTTCAATTTCAAAAGATAGAAAGAGAACAATGCTTTTTTGAAACACGGAATCGATAGCAATTTTAAAAATTTCTTGTAATTCCGCTCTATTCATTAAATTTCCATTTGAATAAATAAATATAAAAAAGGTTTCGTGTATTGAGAGATGAAATATATGTATTTGCTGAAGCCACTCTTTTAATTCGTTGGTCTTTGAGTCAGCGATGTCAAATGTTTGTGCCTTTCAAGTTGAACTATGAGAATTCTAACTTTTGCTTTCCTGCAGTTGGTTTCAGGTATGTATGTCTATCTTTTTTATTTTTTAAAAAAAAAAAGAAAGGATGTTTTGTATTTTAGTGCTTTACAAAGAAGTGAACAGGTTCATTAATGCATTTCTAATCAATTAAAAAAAAAACATTCAAGTGATACTGTACAACCAGAAAAGATCTACATGGATAAGTAAAATCTGCAT